GCCTATTGGGGTCAGTAATTCGTCTAGGGAGCGTCTGGTTTCATAGCATAATAAAATTAAGAATCAAACTTCATGAAGAATTATTACTCGTATGTGTAATGCTAAAATTCTGTGCCCTGGCCTTGCTCCTGAGATCCATTCCGGATCCCCCAATCCTAATCAAAAATCAAGAAAAACACATTTATTATTGCACAAAAATCTAAAAACGGTACAAACTGTAAGCATATTCTGTACATGTCATGAGCAAATATAAGAAATGTCAGATTTGATAGAAAGAACTAACCATATACATTCTGCAATGGATCTTTCAGTAGATTCCGATAGGTTCAACTGTTCAAGTTAAGGAGATCATTCAACAGAGACATTTTTTCTACTTCACAAAGAGGAGTACAATAATACTGTTAACCTTTATTTTTTTTGTACGTTTGCGAGACAAGTGAAGGCACAATTTGCGTTCCTTTTATAGGAATTTTTGGCCTTGGAAACTATGAACAGACAGTCTTTACCTTTTTTTTATGCAGAAATAAGAAATCAAGGCTCCGTTTGGGAGCCATTCTTTCTTCAAATAATACATTTTTCTTTCACATCAAGTGGGGTCCATGACTGGAAAGAGACACAAAAAAGTTGTGATTTGACACAAAGAATGCATTTTTTTTTGTAGAAAAATGGTTACCAAATGGAGCCATAATGTATATTTATCAGTTATATATAAATATATTTTTAATAAAAAAACATTTTATGACAAGATTGTTGCTTGGAGCCTTGAAAGCAATCAAAATACATTGAAATATGTTATGCCTTGTCTGACGAAACTTCAAAAGATCCTACATGGAAGGCGAACATGGGCCCGCACTCCACATCACTCTACCCAAGAGACAGTTTAACCAAACCCGCATGAAGAAGCCAAACCTGTATGGGAAACCGATTCCCATTTGACCGAGTCGATCCCATATATAGAACTGAACCCTCATGATGGGAAAGGCTACAAAGGGAGCTTAGTAGGAGATCTTTTGTGCAATCTTTAGTATGTGATTGACGTGACAATTCACTGCTACCACCACCCTATCCAGTCCATCAAGTCGAATCAAAGTCGTGTCAGATTTATGGGCAACAAAATGGTATTAACATTAAATGCTTATGATTGATTAACACATTCGACAAGAGGCATCACCCGTGTGGATGATACAAGGTATAGTTTCATCATATTCTACTATAAAAATTCACACAAGGTATCATTATAAAGATAATGCAAGTTTAGACTCTCAAACTATAACTTTGATATCTTTACTGTTGTTATCACGACATCTTCCCAAAGTCGACCCCCATTTTCTACATTGGAGATTAGCGTCTAAAGCACATCCTACACTCATATATTCATTACTATAATTGATTTGACCGTTGGAGTGCGATCTACAAACTCCACCACCACCAGAGGAAGTCACGTGTGGTCCACATTTTGTCCAAGTGTACAGGAATTGCTTACGTGAATGCTGGAGGTTTTGAGAGTTGTTGGTCACGTTAGAAGTACAAAATTTGAGATCAACAAAATACATGAAATAAAAATAAAAGTCTAAATACGTTGTCCTTCACTTGAATTTTAACACACAGAGTCTAGAAATAACAGGGACAAGAAATCATCCATAGAGATGAGGTCATGAACATTCAGGATTGTAACATTTACGTTCATGGTGACAAACATCAACAGTAACACAAAATTTGATCGACCTTATGCGTAAAAAATTTGTACCGATGATTCATCTCATCATAATGCAATGAACGCTCTCCTTTTCTTCTCTTGCTTCTCCGTACGTGTTCGTAAATTTTATACTCACCCTAACTAAAAAGAAAAACGAGAAGAACCAAAGAGTTGAAGAAACATTTTAAATTGAAAAAAAAAAGAATATTAATAAATTACAACGATTAACTGGACAATACAGTAAGGCCACTAAGTTGGGGCCTTGTTCTGTCTACAGAAAGGCTTTCATCAATGGCTTTCCACTTGTTATTGGACTGTGCTGTCTGTAATTGATTATTTTCAGATGCTTCTGCTGTTGCTGTTGATGTCGCTGTTGCTGATTCTTCTTGCTTTTCTTCCTTTTTTTCAGGCTTTTCAAAATCTTTGCATTTGCTTCTAATCATGTGCTGCTTAAGCTTGTTTATATCTGATTTCTTCACTGGCTTTAGCAAAAATTCTTCTGCTCCTTCCTCTAAGCATCTGTCATTATATTCCATCGACAAATATTAGCCCACCAAATCGTGCTTTTAGACGAGATGGTTTAATAATTCAAGTTCGGCAGCTATCTGTTCTTGAGAATTGGGCTTTTAATGAAGAAGAAAATAATCAAGTCTCGATGCGTGGTTCAACACATGATACACGGGCTTGTGTAAAATGTTAAAAAAAATTCTTACTGATTGATCCTTGAGGGAACATTCTCAGAGGACATAATAACAACTGGTATGTTTCTCAAGGATGAAGATTCCTGTCAAAAACAAGAAAGCCCACATGTTTACTGAAGCTGATCAGGTGCCATGTTGTTGCTGGACAAAACTAAAAGCACTATGGACAAAATTTTAGTTCTTTTTATTGTTCAATTAATACTATAAATCGAGCTAGCAAAAAATGCCAAGAGCGTGTTTGGGAGTGATTAAAAGCCCCTTAAAATGGGCATCTTTTCGCAGCATCCTCTTAGTATGTCGCTGTGGACTTGTGTACATCGTTTCTTCTTTAATACTATCTAACACATTTTCTTATAATCTTCAGCAGTGTGAAAAAAATGGGTTGGGCTAAAATGTTCTTTCAACATATATGGGATTATACAAATCAGGTGTGGGAAAGATTTGGCAAAGATTCTCATTGATCTAAAACAAAAGGCAAGAAATGGACCCATGTGAGCTAACTTTTTTAGCTTCATATCAATCCACAAAAAACATCCTGGATTAGGAAAATTCAAATTTGGCAGGGAAATATTTTCCAGAAAAGGAAATTAATCTATGTTGGTATATAAATGATGAGCAGAAATAAAGAAAAAAAAAGGAAAAAATCAAGAAAAATACCTTCATTTTCTTGAGCAAATCATAGCCTGTCATTCCTGGCATACAATAGTCTGTAATAACAAGATTTACTTCCACATCCTGCAACAACCAGAAAACAAATAGAATTTTCAGGAAACATAGTATTGAGTCTGTAATATAACTCGACTGCTCGTTCGAGCTTTGCGGCGGATCAAATTGCTTGTTTGAGCTTTTTATGCTCGGAATTTCATGTTTTTTTTACCACTTCACCTTTTGTTAATAACAAAATAAATAGGAGCTCCAGTTGAGCTCTAACTAATCAAAAACAAGAACAAATTAGCTCCGCCTTAAGAATGAGTCTAAACCTTACGTGTTCATTAATAATTACCATTTTCATACCCCTTAACACACACAGGACATAAATATTCTTGAAAAACCCAAGAAAAACAAGAAGGCAAAATGAAAAGAAAGAACTAAAATTACCTGATTATTTTTGGGAGAAACAGAAGTCTCATTTGGGTTGTTTCTGTCATCTTCTTCCCAACCAAGAAATTCTAAAGCTTTGCTACCAGAATCAACTGTAGTAACTGTCATGGGCAAATGCCAAATATTATGAAAAAAAAGATGCTAAATGGATCGAAATCATATTCAAAAAGATTGAAAAAAAAGTCACTTTTCCCTGTATTTTCTTTCTGTTTATACTAATCAAGAAAGTAAAGTACCTTGAAAAGAAGATGTTTTAAGAAGCCTCTCAATGAGCTTTCTGTCAATCAAACTATCATCAACAGCTAAAACATGAAACTGTGTGACTTCTTCTGCTGCCATGCCCATTGTCAATTCTTACGGAGAAAGAAGAAATTTGTGAAGAAAAAAGCCGAAAAAAAGTTGGGTTCTTTTTTTCTATGGTGGGCTTGTTTGTTTTTATGTATAATGAGAGAAAAGTGGAGAAGATGAGCTTTGTATTGAGATTAGGCCCACCAAAATACACAAACCCGAAAAGCAAGATCTGACTAGATTTTTTGTCCAAGTATCTCAAAATTTTCTGTATGGAATTATAGTACAAGAAAATGTTAAGTTGATTGATTACTGTAATGTATATAATAAAAAAAGAATAGCATAATACATATCTTTGGGCTATTATATACAAATATTGCTAGTTTGGTACAAGTTAAAATTCAGATTTTAATCTAAATTAAAGTTAACAATTAATTTTAACTACATATTTCATGAGTCCACAACTTTTTAATTACACATTTTATCAACTTCTATCAAAATTTACTAAAAAATTGATTTTAGTTCTTATCAAACAGGGACTATTATGTTGGGTGGTTTTAGGTGGTGTGGGGTGAAAAGAGAATTGTTGAAAGCAAAAGTGGGATTTGGGATTCAGTAGTGGTGCTATGAAATGATGTCTTACTTGTATGTAAAAAAAGGTTGAACCCCATCTTTGAGGTTTCCCACGGCTCCTACTCCTAGAGCATTGTGGAGAAGGAAAATCGCAGGATGTGCTTCAACAGGTCAGTGTACAAGAACTGTCATATTGATGTCCACAAAGAGTCCAATTTCACAGGATGCACAACGAATGTAACGAAAATAATAATAATAAACGAGCACAAAATTTAGCAAATGTAAAAAATGAGCACAAAACTGAGTCCATATTTGATAATATTTATTTTCAAACTCTTTTTTCTACGTACTCATTTTCAATCACACATTCACGCAATAATGAGTTGGAGATGATTTTTAGTTTTATACAAGATTTGGTGCAAAATAGTACAAAACTTACCTCAAATTTTGATGCAAGATTGGAGATGGTGTTAAGTACTTAATTTATTTTACTTCCCACCAGTACATACATTAAAGTACCATCTTTTTGACATCAACGCATGCATCTGCTATACCGAAACTTTTACATAAACTTGAAAACGATTAAAAAGAGAAAAAAATGATTTAGTTTCTGTTTAACACACATCCTTTCAAAATACATTCTTTTAAAACTCATTTTCAACCACACATTTTTTAATAAAATAATATTTTTCATCGCATCAATAATTTTTCCTTACTTTTTAACCACATAGTTCACATCATATCACTATTTAAAATATATTATTTTTTCAATAATATCCATCAAACACCTCCTTACAATTTTTCAATTCTAATGGTTTTTTTAATCGAACTTGTCAAAAAGGTCCTAATAATTTTCCTTTTATATAATTTAAAACGTAAGAAAAAAAAAAAAAAAAGTAAAAGAATCTTTTGAAGTTAAAAGACGTGCACTTTCATTTTGGCCTTTTGTTGTTGCTGTCATCATTGGTTAAAAGCATTGACAATCCTCTATATCCACTTTGTATCGAGTCTAAAAAAATCTCTCGAGCCTTCTGAGAAACACCACCAAACAGACAAATTGTATGTGTATAGTGGGTGCGAGTTCGATTAACCAAGATTTTGATTTTGGGACCATATATTCTTATTGGAGAAAATGGAAATTATTATATTTTTATGACTCGTAATAAAAAAAGTGGTGCAAATGAAGCGCTCCTTTTTTTTTTTTGGAAGGTGCAACATTATCAACTTTTACTAATAAGAAAAACATTCTTTTCTCAAAAATAATGTTTTCCATAGTCGATGATTACCTTAGTCATTTTATATGACATATATATCTATGTAAACTACCTTTTCTTTTTTAATTACTTTTGTATTACACCTAATCATGCAACGAGAGCTAATCATACCGAAAATTGAAATTCAAGAAAAATGAACCAAATTAAAGAGAAAAATAATTTAATTTTTTGTCTCAAAATTTTGTTGCTACCTACACATCTTAGTTCTAAAAAAAATTTTGACACTCTAATTAATTGATCTTTTAGTATATCCCAAAGTGGGACACAAAATGCAAAACCTAAAATGGGGAATAAAGTGGAAAAGTTGTACACTTTGAAAAGAAGCAAAGTCAAAAGATGAGAATTTTGACTTTTTTTTCCTCGTTGAATTTTATTTATTTATTTTTTTGCTTTGGGTGTGAAAATGCTTAGTGGTGCTAATTAAGATATTTAAGAATTGATGCTTCACAGAAACAATATACATTGTTTTTATTTTTAATAAATCAAAATAAAGACTATAATAAAGACTAAAAATTAATATTTTTATTCGCATTTGTTGCTAACAAACATCTTGGTTAATTATTTCGTGCATGAAATTAAATTCGAAGTTTGTTTTACTTCATCCGGCTCACAAAGATATGCTTGCTTACAAAATTAATAAATTTTAATTAATATAATTGAAACTATAAATTTTACTTACCTTTTTCAATATACACGTACATTAAATAATGATAGTTCATATTTGTTGATAACAAGACATTAAGCCCCTGTTTGGTTTGGATTAAAAATTTAGATTTTAATATAAGTCAAAATCAATAATCAATTTTAACCACACAGTTCATGGAACTCACAACTTTTCAACCACACATTTCATCAACTTTTATCAAAATCAGATCAAAATCTACTAAAAATCTGATTTTAATCATTACCAAACAGGGGCTAAATATGGATATATTGAAAATTAAGAAATTAATTATACTATAAAAAAGAAAAATAGCATATAATTTGAGATTTAAAAAAATGTAAATTTGTCTCTATGAAACGAGGGGAATAAGAATTTCCAGATTTAGTATGCAAATTAATCACCTTGAGAGGCACAATTTTTATAAAAGTTGGCAAATAATAATGTTGTAATGATCTGCTGTAGTTGTTACCACGTGAATAGAAAAGATTATAAGAAAAAAATTAAGCACATGCATTGAACCTTCTGCCAACCCAATTAATTACTTATAATTTTAGGAGATTTTCCATGCACACATGAGAGATCTTGTTTGGTTATAAATAATTCAAATAATTATTATGTACTCTTTGTATTTTCTTTGTGCACTAACTTTTCTTGAAAGATTAACAATGTGTAATACAAAACTGGTCGTTGATTTCGTAATTGCTAGATAAATTATCTTTCGTCCTTCTTCCCACTTTTGACGAAATGAATGGTTAAAAGCAAAAGAAAAAAGAAACCTAATTATATTCAAATTTTCGTACTTCTTTCCTGATCATGAACGATGTTCGAATAATTCAAGACTCAACCTAATATCATGTCAAGTTGACTTAATTTATAGACTTGTCCAAGTCAAATATGTGTAAAGAAATTTATATTAGTGCAATAATAAAAGAGGCGTTGTCCGTAGAGTGAACTTGACTCTTGGAGAATTAAATTTACTCATTATTTTACTTTTGAAGATAAAAAAATGTACTGAATACCTTAAAAAGAGGTTTTACTAGTTATATAACTTTTTATTGTATGTATATCCATACTATAGATTCTCTTTTATAGAGATTGTTTGGTTTGAATAAAACATAGTTAGGCTAATTAATAGGAAAAATTGCAGACGAGGTATCAAATTTTTCAATTAGTTGTAGACTTTATCCAAACCTTTCATTTGTACCACTCACGGTACCAAATTTTTAAAAAAATAGCAGCCCAAGTCCAAAATAACTGTTTCCATTATTTTGACTCCAAAAACCGTCAGTTGACCCAAAAATTAAAAATCTAATAATTTTCTCCAAATAAAGTAACGGCATTTTGGACATAATACATTTCTTCTATTAAATAAAAAAAAAAAAAAGAAGCAAAAAGCAAAATACAAAATCACAACCCACCCCCATCTCTTTCTTCCCAAACCCCCTCATTAACCAAAACCAAAACTATTCCAACCAGCTGTCGGCTGCCACTGCCACCGCCACCGCCACCGCCACCGTCATCACTAATACCAACGCTTGTACCACCTAAATTTATAGGTTAGGTGATCTTTACCAACTCTTCCTCTCCAATCTACCTAATGGTCGCCCTATTCATCTGAAATGCTAGTTTGCGGCTCAAAATTGGAAGTGCATTTTTCAATGAAATTGGACGACAACTTGACATTGTAGGGGCTTTAGATGACTCAGAATTCAATGATGGTGGTGCCATGTGGTGGGTGCCACTGAAGTGGCCGAATTGGGGATCTTGGAATTCACACCTATCGCAAGTTTGGTGCTCAAACTCGGTGGAATTTCTTCAACAATTGGATCAATTGGGTCCCTTCCCGTTGTCGATTGGCGGGTCAAATTTGATGGATTAAGGTCATAGGACTCTTCAATTGAAATACATGAGCATCTATGTATTGTTTTGGCCAATGCNATATATATATATATATATATATATATAATTTCGCAATTGCATTTTGCATCACACAGTAACTCAATTTAATTTCAATTCTTCTGTAATGTGAGTGGTGCCACGAATTAAATAATATTAGACAATGTTAAAATAGAATAAAATTTTAAAATGTTATTATTGATCTAGTATTATATATAAATGCGTGCGCTATTAGCTTATAAGAATCAATACGAATACCTCAATTAATCAATCTTTATCCCTTTCTTCCATCCGAATTGAGCTGGATGAATTGATTAATTGAGACTCGAGTTGTCATTTTGCAACACCAATGGGACACCAGTCTAGTCAGATATAAAGCCAAATATTATGATATGATTCTTGACATAACATGTCCAATCTTTGGACCACTCCCAAAAGAAAGAAAAATCGTTTGCCAGCTTGTACATTAGATTTATTTTGTCTTGCTTAAGTTTTAAGCTTTAAAGAAATCTGTGTTCATGCACTATGCAAATGTTGGTTTCTTGATATCTATTTATATAATCATATTAATATTGCTTCTTTATCATATTAAAGATACTTATTGCTGTCAAGAAACAAAAAGAGACTATTTATTGTGATTCTTTTTAGTA